AGTGTTTTCTCCTAATTACTTGTGAAGAGTACATTATGGTTGCTTTTGAAAGTTAAGCTCGGCTGGTTTCAGTTATTGGGTTTTTGTATTGTTGTCTGAGGACTGTTGAGGGACTTTTGTTGGACAGCTTGTAAGGTTTAAGAGAACTGTCTGAATTTTTGTGTTACCACATACAGTATCTCCAGTTACAAGCTTGATGTCTCTTGCCCATGCTCTTATGTTCTATGTCAAGATCTAGTTTGCTTTGCCTCTGCGTCTGCCAAAGTGTTCATCTGTTTAGCCACAGTTTTCTTAGCCACTAATAAAGCCCCGTTATCTCATTACATCTCTGTTGCTTTGGTTCTGTATTTGGGTCCAAAATTATACACAAACCTCGACAGGTCTGAACAAAGTCTGCACTTTTTAGATTGAGCCACTTCTTATTCAAGAACTGCTTTTTGTGTACTAATGTTAGCATTCTGTCCCACCAGGTGTGGCCCACTGTGAGAGAAAGGTCTCACGATGCAGCAGTCTGAAGAACCTGACACTAGATGACCTTCTTAAGGTTGCCAATAGCCTACCAGGGGTCAAAGTTCGGCAAGAGGATGTCCAAACTGTGGTCTCTACCTGCCGGCCCAGACAGTACATTCTGCAGCTGCTTCACCTTTGGAAGACAGCAAACTATGACCTGGATCTAGTCAAAGGTCTATCTCACAGTCTGAGGGTGCTGCGCAGCCAGGGGGCACCACGCAATCTGCTGAAAGGCCTGAAGAAAATCAGTCGCATCATAGAAACCAGCTCCGCACACAAGCTGTATGAGAAAATGTTTTTAACTATGCTTCAGGATGAGTCATGTTTTAAGGCTCATAAGCCCTTAAATTAATAGGAAAATGGGAAATACAAATAGGAACACATGCAGTCTAAAGCATAAAATGACACCAATGCATGTGCAAACAGTGAAAAGTGGTTGGATGGAAATTTTAGAGTGAGACTTTTTTCAAGCTGTTTCAAGTCATTGACGTCACTGTTGTGCAAAAACAGATTTTTCTTTAAACTGTCTCAAGACCTCTCAGTCATGAGCTCTATTATGAGATGGAAGGCTTCTATACAGTAATGTAAATTTTATGTAGCTAAATTACAAGAACTAAATTATACTTGTTTAAGCTGCACAAGCTTTACATTTATAGAACTTAATGTAGGCATGGGGAAACAATCTGTTTTACGAAAGGAAAACTCATAAAGAGGTGTGTAAACAGAATAATCACATACATATTGTGCTGATTATGTTTGGGTCTCACTGATTCACTGTTCCACAAAATTATTTTTATACAGGCCACACCACCACACCGCTTTATAGAAATCATTTGTAGAAACATTTTTCCTTTACTTGACAGTACTTAGTAGAGTGAGAAAGAAAATATCAGGAAAGAGAGAAAGGTCCTGATGAGAGATACTCCACCCTTAGGCCACCAGGACATTTGAGAACTGTTTGGGTGGAGTGGAAATACTAATTTCTTCTTACAGACAGGGTGTTACACATTGCATCAAATGACACACACACCTTGTCCTGATACTTCCTAAAAGCTTTACACCATTTAGCAGTTAAGTCTGATATTCTGTTTCTGACTAATACAAGTTGGAAGTTGTTTTGACCTTTTAAACAGAGGTTTGACAAACTGTCCACCCACACAAAAATCGGTTCCTTTGTGAACACTATAAAGTGAACTGACACACTTTGGCAGACGTGAGAGCACGCATATCATCAGAATGGTGAGTGTTCTGTATTAAAATATTTGATGAGTTTAAGATGATACGAGCAAAGACAGAGAGAGATGATGATAAACAGACTTTAGATGATTTTAAACAAAGATAAGAAGAATTGAGAAGGAAATTAGGCAAATTATCATTAAATAGAGATGCAGTCTAGA